GGCTGCAGCAGGCCACCAGCAGAGGCGGCGCCGCCCACCCCACCACGCCCAGCGACGTCACCCGCGCGCCCCGCCGCTCTCGGTGAGAGTGGACATGCAGGGCTCAAAACCCCTGTTAAAGACCGCTGTAGTGTATCTCGCTCTAGAGAGAGCCCTGAGGAGCGCCAGGCTCGACTGGCAAAGGGACGTGAAGCTAAGAGTGCGGCTAGAGCAAAAGAGAGTGCGGAGGCTAAAGAGGCTCGATTGGCGAAAGACCGGGCCAGGAGGCGAGCGAGAGAACAAGAAAATCCTCAGATTCGTGAGAATCGGCAGGAGAAGAAGCGGGAGTCCAGGGCAAAAGAGAGTGCGGAGGCTAAAGAGGCTCGATTGGCGAAACAACGGGCCAGGAGGCGTGCAGCAAAAGAACAGGAAAGTGATCAAGAACGCGATGCTAAAAGTGCTGAGAAGCGTAGGCAGATGAGACTGCATCGCGCGCAAACAGCAAAACGTGCAAAACGTGTGTTATTCAGTGTTTCGCAAGAAGGTAAGTTTAGTTAATGAGGTATTTTACGAATAAGAAGAACAGGAGGAATCCCGGCTTTTGGACCACAACAAGTCGCAGGTCACTGGCGCATAACGAAACGGTTTCTCGTGTACCAGATTTTTGAGGTTCTCAGCTTTAAAATGATATAGAACAGTTATGACTTTTCAGTTTTAGCGGAGATACGCGAGAAACCGTGCGCTTGGTCGTGGCTTTGTTATGGTCCGGGAGCAGACGTCGGCCGGGATTCCTCCTGTTCTTCTTATTCGTAAAATACCTCATTATGTATGATTGCATTCTAAGTAAATATAATTTATTAAGTGATCGGTCCTTTTTACAGAGTCTTCCTGTGGTGATGCCTCTGATAGTGACTCCACTGACTGGAGTTCACACAGTGATGGCTGTCAATTGGAAGACGATGTCTCTGACTGTGACGCGTATGGCGAAGCCACTAACGGGTATCGAACCCTGGACCCCAACGACCCTGTC